TTTTTCTCAAGGTTCTTTTATAAAAAAAAAAAATAAAAAAATTATATTATTATTATTATTTTATTATTTCTAAAAAAAAAATCATGATGATTCTTTCTTTTTTTTTACATATTATAAAATAATTAATTTATATTATATAATAATTAAAATTTTTTTTTTTTTTATAATATTTTTTAATAATAAAATTAATATCTTTTATTACATTTTAATTTACATATAAAGATATAAAGAGTCAATAGAATGAATCCAAATGAATATCAACAATCTCTTATTTGTCATTCCTTTAACTCTCTCTTATAACAAAATAATTTAATTATGTGTCTCTCTGCGACGTCCACAAATTTACTTTAAATAAGGGAACCGTTAATTAATAAATTTGTTTCAACGCATTAAAAATGGCAACTTTTAAAAACCATTATGAGTCAACAGATTCAACAAATGTTTCCATTTATATCCTCCAAAAAATAGTAATTCGCCCGTTTCGCCCGTTTCGCCCGTTTAACTTAACAATCAAACCTTTTCCAATTACAGAATTATGCGATGATCATGTTAATAAATCTATCCGTTTAGTATTATACAATTAAGAAAATGATTATTAATTACATTTCATTGTTGCAATAATCAATCATATCAGGTATCATATATAATCATTTCCCCTTCCTTTTTGAATAAAAGTTTTATAATACTATAAACAGTTAACTTTTACTTTATATGGAAAAGAAATCTTAAACCGAAATTTAAATATTATAAATAAATTGAATCCATTTTAAGTATATTATTGACTTTTTTAAATATTATTCATTTATATAGACACAAATATATACTGTATACTGTATATATATATTATCGTATTATAGTAATAAAAAAAGTAAACTTTATTAGTAAAAGTGAAAAAATTTAATTATTTTTGATATTAATAAATTTATACAAAATAATACCTTAATTAGAAGAAATGGTGGGAGAGAAAAAAAAAAAAAAAAATTTCACTTTATATGCTGACTGTCTCGTGATATGTTCAAATATTGCTATATAATATGCATGCATGAAAAAAAAAAAATATCTACATGACCGGTAATATTTTTTGTGATTGAAACAAAAAGGTAAATAATAAGGCTGTACATTGGGCATGAAATAATTACCTTTTATGGGGTAAAAGCATAAATGATGTAAATAATGTTGATCAGGCAAAAAGGGACTCACATATTAAATATTAAGTAAAAAGAAACAATAATCACTTAAATTATAAAGACAATCCTTCCCAAATTTAAAAAACCAATTACATTTATTACATAATTTTTTAAAGATACCTATTTTAAGCATTTACTATACCCAAAAATTATTTTCAATCATCCCATGCATTTTTTATAGTGAAATTTCATAATAGAAAAATATATATATTTTTTTTTTTTATTTTTTTTTTTTTTT